TTACATTATGTACTTAAGTCAATGAAGAATGACATATTTAAATATTCTTAAAAGGAGAAAATAGTGACATGCCTCACACTGAAGGGATAAGTCACTTCAGTTCTTTCTTCATTTATACCAGTTTTCCTCTTGTCCAGTTAAGAGTTGTTAAAGGTGAGATGTACGTACCTTTTGTCCCTTTTTAAAAAACTGGAAAGTTGGCATGCATTTGACTTCACACTCTGAAGCAACATCCTGAGAAGGGGCGCGGGGGGAGGATAAAGACAAGAGAGCGAGCATTGAGCTTTGACAGAGGTAATCCAAGTCCAGATTCTTTCTCCTGTTATGTACCCTACATCTCAGCATTAGGACGTTTTTCAGCATATGAAAAAGCAATATAATGAATATAATGGCAGCACAAAGGCCAAACTGGTTATACTCTCAATGAAAAACATCTACCTCCTTCGAGAGGCACCAACAGGTAGCATGCTACCTCAGATACTCCACAGTGATCCAATATGCTGTTTAATCCAATTAAGTTCTTGGCCATTTCACGTATCATGAAGAAGCAATAACAAATTCTGCTATAATTGGATTCAGGATTATAATCTTAACTATTCCTCAGAATTTGCACCTCTTGTTTCTTGCCCATAGTTTTTCCAGTTTTATTGTAAGAGTAGGGTACACCAATAATGATTATAAGGGCTAAAGTCCAAAGTTAGCAAGAGGGACACCCACACACAAAGGACTGTTCGAGAACAAAATCACAGTAATCTAAAGGAATAGTCCCAATATTGGTTTTTCTACTTATTTTCAATACAAATAACTGCTTAATTTACAAGAAAATATATGCTTTAAAACGTTAGAAAAAAGACACGCTCACAGGGAAATGGTGTTAATACTTTGAGATGGATTCTTGAATGTTTTTAAATTGTGTTCATATATTTTATTTTTTAAAATCACAGCTGAATCTTTATATAGTACATTTTTAGTTAAAGCATTAAGAATTTCATTTCACTGAGTGTGAGAGTGATATTTAAAGCTGACATAGGATTCAATTTCCCGGACTGGACCTTTAGGTTATTTCCAATTTATGTGTGTCCTTGTGAATAAATTCTCACACATCCCTAGGGCAGAAACCTTAAAGTGGAATTACTGGGTTCAAGAAGATGATTTTAATTTATACATTTATCCATATATTTATAAGTGTAATCTCTGTTCTATGCAACCAAATGGGAAAAGGAAAGCCACCCATACTCTCTACTAGCTACTGTTAACATTTTATTATTCATGCACCTAAATATATATTTTTCTTTTAAAACCCATGCTATCTGCACTGTAACACAGGCACACCAGGGATAATGTACATACAATGGGCTTCTCTCCATGAATACAATACTTTTTATGGTCCCATAGCAGTCACTGTGTGGGTGCACTACCATTTGAACCAATCCACTGTTCTAATATGTAAATGGTTTTGATTTTGCCTAATGTAAACACTTTTAATCTTCATATAGAAATATCTCTGGACACTGGTTCAATTTTTACCCCCCTCAGCCCTAGAAGTAGAAATTGCTCAAAGAGCAAGACATATTTTAAAGTCTCTACATATATATTATTAAACTACCTTCCAAAGAATTTGTATCAATTTACTAATATTTATCATGATTTCGCTATTCAGTTTAAGACTTTTATGTAATCAAATCCATCAGCCCTACCCTACCCCATCTATTAAAAGCACAGGCTTTAAAGACCACACTGTTTTAATTCATCCAGCTAATCTATACCTG